AAAGTGGAGATGGATTGGATTGGGCATACACTGAGAAAACCATTCGGAGACATCACGCCCCAGGCTCTCGAGTGGAATCTAAAGGGGAGACGACGATTTGGGAGTCCAAAGGTGACATGGAGGAGGTCATTTGAGGAAGAAATGAAAGCTTGTGGGGAGTCATGGAGCCAGGTTCAAAAGACTGCAGAGAACAGAGTGCAATGAAGATGTGCTACTGAAGCCCTATGTCCCCTAGGAACCCAAGGGACAAATAATAATAAGCGGTGTCGCATTTCTATTGAACGTCATAGACGTGCTAATGGACATAACATCAGGTACCTCTGACTTCACAGGGATCAATCCACTTCCCAGAGGCCAACTGGTTGGTTTAGAGCATCCAGATGATAGTGTCACGCTGGATGAAGACGCTGACAAAATGCAGAGTCTCCTGAACGCATTGAAAAGAAATCTGATTATGTTTGGCAAGCGTTTCTCACCTGTCTAATGTATAGTGATGCTGCAGGAGCAGTCTACAACTACTCCCAGCTTAATGACAAGGAGTGATGTGGTGGTATGTATTGGCCACTTCACTTGCTTGGAAAACTACATCAAGTCGGACGTGCTAGTTGTCGAGGAAATCTCAGCTGGGATAAAGAAGGCTGACTTGGCATCTGCCAACTTGCGTCGTCTCTGTGCTGACTGGCCAGATATCCGACTAACTGTTAAAGGACGAGTATACTGCATTGCAGTTCGTCCTGTCCTGTTATACGGCTGAGAAATGGTCGTTGAAATTAGGAGATACGAATAGACTGTAGTTTTTTTAACCACATGTGTCTTCTTAGCATGGCTCCATATGGTGGAATCACCAAGTGAGCAAAGGCGAAGAGTACTAGGCAAGACAACCAAGTCAATGGATGAGGTTATGAATCTTCGTCGGCTAAGTGACTTAGACAAGTGTTGCGCATGCCCAGCCTTCGCCTACCTTGACGTGTGATGCTAGGGAGTGCTGAATTAGGTTAGGAGGTTCAGGGTGACCCGACTAAGAGGCGGCACCAGTGCATTAAGTCTGTGAATATTTATCTGAGTCGTGTGGAGATGTGAACTGGCTGGCTGAGGTCCGTGAGACGAAAGGAATCAGTGGTTGAGGACTGTTGGTTATATAGCTAAACATCAGTCACAATGGTGCAGATTCATTTATGCCTTGACATCTAAAGCTTGAATATTTTCACTAACCAATATCCTCAGATTGCATATTCTCTCACAAAACTTTTTCTTCTTTCATATCAGTCTTTTTCTGCAAAACACCTCATGGTCGAGAGTCGAATCCCACCTCCAAGTCGAGAAATTTGGCAAGTATCGGCCACCGTTATGGATAGTTGTCCCAGGCCTATTGGAAGGTGAGAACCCGATCAATGCACCTTCGTTCAGGTCTGAAACCTACCTAGTTTTCTAGAGTTTGCTGTTCTCGAGCTCCAGTTAGGCATCAGATAACTATGGATCCTAGGATCTTTGACATGATATTAGTCAAACTAATTCCCCTATGGTTGTTACAAGACCTCTCCCTTCTTACAGACTTGGACGACTAGTGAAGTACACCATCTGACGGACTACCTTGATTCCCTCCCATACACTACCTAGTACCTCCGTCACTCTAACCACCAATTTCCAACCCCCATCTTTGAAAACTTCAGGTGGCAAGCAATCAGGTTCGGCTGTTGTGCATCGTTTCGGGTTCAATATAGCTTTCTCAACTTCAAGGAGAGTTGGAGGACAGATATCTACTTCCCATTTAGGTTGGGACTGGATATTGGGCAACTGATGAGATGATGACGACTAACTGAACCTTGTTTCAGTGTTCTGTCTAACGTTCCAGTCATCTTTCGCTGGTGTTCATCAAGGAACCGCTCTTCTGTTGATGTTTTCACTAGCCTTCATGTTCTTGGCGGTATTCTTAATAAACCTGAATAACTGCCGTGTGTTACTGAACGACCAAGGCCTTCTCCATCTTTCTTGCCTTCACCAGCAACCACTGCTTGCGATCATTGAGAAGACTCTTGTCACTTTACCTTTAAGTTGCTTCCTCTCTTCCGTCGCAGTCACTGTCCGTACGTGTGGTATGCGTTTTGCAACACCGATATGCAAAGTACTTTTGCAAGATTGCCAGGAGCCTGTGCCAGCGCTTAACCTAGATGGTGAGTCGTTGATGGATGGTTGTTTGGGTGTTGGTGAAGATGCGATGAAATGTCTAACCTAATATAGAAAGCTGGAGTGGCACAGCCTTATTCTGGGCAACTAATAGCGCCATTACGATGTTAGTTTGACTGTAAAAAGTCAAGTTTACAACGATTCGGTGCGAGTAGTTTTCTCTACGCCTGTGAAGCCTGGTCTCTCCAAGCTGAGGTTGTGCGACGACTCTGTGTTCCGTACTCGTTGTCTCCATGGGATCCTCGTATGCAACACTATGTAAGTAATTCTGAGTTACGACGTGTTTGGGCATAGAGACCATCATTCAATAAGTGAAGTCATCTGGAAACACATGCTCTGGTGGCTTGGATGTGTTACGCATGTCATCCCAATGGTTTCCACACCGTTCACTGTTTGCTAACCTTGGGACTGGATGGGAGAAGCGTTGAGGTGGTCAGTGTATGACGCATCGGGCTAGCATCTGTTGGTGCATCGCAATTCTCCTAAGTGGGGTCCGTGAGATCATGCAAGCATCAGCAGGCTTGAGACGTTATCAGACGGCTCAAAAATGAAACCAGAGGCGGTCATACCAGTAGTTTCCTCCCATCTGCTGCTGAACAGTAATGAATGCTTTTTTCGAATGCATCTTACTGGACTGCCTTTCTAATCACTATATTTTTATTGTTTGTCTTTCTATGCACTTCCCTCGCCTTGTCTTTATAATACAGTTATACTATTTCGTGTGGAGTATTTTTTGGTGCCCTTCTTGTGCCACTTTTGTGTTCGAGTAATAATCATCGAGGTCAAAGCTATCTGGAATCAGTCTTCTCGCATCAATCAGTTCCGATGACGTTAGGGAGATTCAATGACGTTTGCTAACCTTCAGGAGTAGGTTCCTTGTCTTTACCGCGTCCTCATCTTCTACTGAACCACAGACAGGCTTTATTGTTGCCTGTTTGCTGCGATCAGTAAGGCGCCAACATACACGAGCCCGTGCTGGCGCATGGTCAGAGTTTAAACAGGTACCCCAGAAAGGGTGGAAACCCTTCTCCGATCCTCTCCAACGATGGCTTCTCATAGAATCCACCATTTGCATCATCCGAACTGTAGCCGACGGGTGCGTAAGAGGAGATTACGAATAGGTATCGGTTGATTTCATGATCCTTGCCAGTTCTTACAGACTGATCCAGCTCAACAACACAGATGGCTAGTTGACTGGAATCCAGTCGAGGAGCGTATTTTTCGCCCTATAGCTCAATGTTGCGTCTACATTAGCACGTTTACGAGAGCCAGGCACTGGTTCTTCAACTACATGCAAGGTCAACTCTGAATATTCACAGCACTGGTCATGTGAGGGCAAAGAAAATAACCACACTCAGGTTTTGAGTACGTATCTCAGACAGAGGATACATCCATGACTTCATATTTCAGAGTTCTGGCGGACGATATTTGCAGTCCAACTCGGCATAGAGTTCGGAAAAGGAAAGCTCCCACATGAAACCGATGGTGGACGGGGTCTTAGGAGACTATGAGTGAGGTATCGATGACTCTGATTGTTGCCAATGGTTGCAGAGTGAGACGCTGGGTAAGGCGTAAGAGGTTTAACATTAGTATCAGGAGGTGAAAGTAAAGAGGAGATAGAGTTGAGGAGAACATACTATGTTTGATTGGGTCTTTTATACCACTGAAAGCGCGCGGGCAGTCGACACTTCCCGGGTGCCCACACCGTGAAAGGATAGTTTTCCTTGAAGTACCTGAAAAAGAAGGGATAGTTCGTGGCCGCAGAGTCCATGTGACACCTGCCTGAGGTCAGTCACATGCATTCTGACAGCAAGTTTGAGAGTTAGTTTTCCGCTTTCGAGTCTGACTACGAAACCTTGTTGCAGGCGTCGGCATAACGAGAGAAGGTAGGAGTGCTATTTTAGGGGACGACCTTTCCCAACTCCTCCTTCATATAGAGAAGGACAGCATCAACGACGCACCGCCGATCATCCAAAGGGGACATCTGATAGTTGATAAACCACCGTCTAGTCACCAGTACAACTTCGTCCTCAGACCTCAATCGTCACGTAGCAATTTTCACCATAATGGTAAATGCCTTTTGTCTAACCACTGTCCAAAAGAACTTTCTGGTATAGCAGAACCTGGAAAGAACAGCATTTTGCCAGTGTAGCTCACTTGGATTATTGTGATATACAAGGCCAAATCACCACGTCAAGGTAGCAGCTATCAGTCGGGACCAGTGACAAACAAAACACGGAAATAGAAAAACAGCGAAGGACTGGTTCCACCCAATACAGTAAGTGGAGGATGAATCGAAGTCCTAATTGCTTGACTTTTCTGGGAAGTTGAATCAGTTTTGGTAACTCTTCAGTGCAAATGTGATCGAGAAATGTGGTACTAAACACATCAGCGGTGGAAAAGTACTTAGCGTAAGGCTTATCAAACTGGTTGAAAGTAGTCATACGACGGTTGTAACTCGCGACTTCAGAGAAAAAAGATGTCATATGGTGACTGAGCCATCTATGACGAAGATTCTAGTTAGAGCACAGATATCTTTATTTTCATTCACTAACCGACACCTGATTTTGAGTATACGTAACATACTCAGAATGGTTTCACACCGTAATGTCTGCCAGTGAAAACTAGAGAGAAAGTCTTATTGGCAATAAAACGTGAGTTCTCACTTGAGTCACTTGTAGTAACAAGTGACTCACTTATTGCACTTGCTGAATGAATTGCGGCTATATTAAATTACTGGCTTGAAGCCACACAGAGACGAAGTCTTTGAAAAATATCTTTCACAAGGCCACTAAAGATAAAGAAGATTGACATACCAAGGATCTCTGGTAAACTCATCCATGGCACGGACTCGTGATAGATTGTAGCACCTTAAGAAAAAATGAGCGCGCTGTCCAGGCACTTGGTATCAAATATCCAGACAGCTGCAAATGATTGGTAGAGAAAAATAAGAGTGTTTTTCCTGCCCTACTTTACGCCCTGGAAACAATGGAACATAAAATTTTCTAGTTGTCAACTTATGTGCCTAACAAACAGACGGAGATGGAACTGAAAGAGAGACAAGTATTTAATTGTGACTGAACTCGTGCCCATACTGTATGTTGTCACGAAATCGTTATTCAGAGGATTCGGACTAGGTAGAATCGGTCGCTCCTATAAGAGGAGCACTTCAAGATGAAGCAACTGTCAGCGAGGTAAAGTTGAGTCTGACGTCTAACTAGCTGCGTCACACATTTCTCAAGAATCAATTACCTAGGGTTCGGCGACATTCAACAATGATCCTGACCTTCATAGTTTAACTAGACTCGCCAAGCCGGAAGCGCACAAACAAGCTTCCATGCCATTTGATATGCTGTCGTGTTACTCTAGCGTCACACACTTCCCCAAAATCAATAGCCTAGGTTTGACGACTTTCCACATTGATGCTGACCTTGATAAGTTAACTGGACTCGCTAAGCTGAAGGCACCCGGTCAAGCATCCTCGCCATTTGGAACGCTGTCGTGTTACGTGCACTGCTCGCATTCGACTCTCTAGCCAGTTAGTTGGAACGCATCGGTATTTTGGCACAACTATCCAAATATACTATTCCATCCGACTACGCTATCGTGTTCTCCCTTGGCCTCGTACTCGTGGGTATATAACAAGTCCGAATAATTAGTGATTGGTCTTTGCGTCTATCAAGTTCACACCAGGACAAATCCTAAATTACGTTGCACCACCCGTAGTCGACCCTCTAGCCAGTTAGTTGGAAATCACTGATATCTCGGTACGACCACGCAAATATACTGTACCATCCGACTACGCTATTCCGTTCTTTCTCGTTTTCGCAGTCGCTGTTATGTGACAAGTATGAATAATCTGTGATTGGCCTCTGCGTCTGTCAAGTTCACACCAGAACGATTCCCAAAATATGTTGTTCCAAGCATAAATTCTGTATGTTTTGGAGAATATTGTTGCAACTAGTGCTGATCAAGTGAGGCAGTGGGTAACAAATGGTATGTTTGCTTTCAAAGACCCTAGGGAACCCCTTTTTGGTCGTCTACATCACAGAGAACACAGAGCAAGCACTACCAATCGTTTGCCGTCTGTTTTAAGCAGAAGTCTGTGAACAGACTTGTTCCGCCTCTCCTGGATGCGCTCTGTGATCGATTTGCTTTTCTGCAGTCGGGAATGACATTGCGGTCTCATAGTTAGAGTATGGTCCTATGAAGCTACCAACAACCTGATGGGGGTCTTCTGGACGAAATGTCAAAATATCTGTTATGAAGTAGCACCTCCAAATCGGTGCAAAATCCTCTTCTACCGCAACTAGCGAAGGACTTTAAGTTTCAAGGGACCAAATCCCTAGAACTCTTCTTCTTCAGTGATGCTTATTTCTGGGTACCACTGAGAGCAGATATGTCGAACACTTTGTTTGAGATATTCCACCTTGCATTCTTCCGGATCAAATGCAAGCTTACTGTTGTTTGCTCAGAATAGAATTCGGGTTATACCTTATTGTGAAGAGACCCTATCTTCTTCCGTGATTTACCCGCAAGGCTTGGTTTCATCCGCAGAAATGAAGATTGCGAAATGAACCTGCTGAGGAAAGTCGCTCTTATATACTAAAACTATATCTATCTAACGAGCCTGTCCAGACGAGCTGATTTCTTACAACTTGTTTATTGATTTGGCAGAACCATTCCAGGACTTATGTTGATTCCAGTTCAGTAGATTCGGTCACTAACACACTGTTCCTCTGACATATGCCATGGATGGTTGCTTAATCATCAAATTTGTAGTGGTGTCGCATTTGTTTTGAAACCGCGGTCCCAGCGTGACTTTCTAGCACCATGTAACTGGTGTTGTTTCAATTAATCTAATTGGCACGATAAGTCAAGAAATAGCTGGAAAAAGTGGAGGGGAGAGGCACCGGTAAAACAGGTAGATAATGTTCAAAACTGATATGGTGAAGATATAAGAAAACACCACCCAGAGGAATTCGAAAGATTGGGTTAAGCACCTGTCACTTGAGGTAAAAAGAGTCGCATGCCTGAAAATTCTACCTAAACTAAGTATCTGCTGACGTACATTTGTCTTGGGAACTCCATAAAAACAGTTTACGGCTGTAGGAAAATAGTTTAAATCAGTAAATATGATAACGGGTCCGGGAATGGTGGATGCTGATCAGGAGGACGCAAAGGGATTTTCAAGAGACATCCCGTGGTGACGGTCATGATTATATCTCCGATGAGTATGTGCACCTTGTCAATGAACTCATTGGCGTCCAAAACTAAATCTTCCTATCACAACTGCCGTCAGACTGGATATGGTATGACACAAACAGCTCAGAACATCTTGGTGTTTATAAGAATTTTCAAATACACTCTGATACTATGAAAGGCATCACGAGTATTCGTTTTCATTTTTAATGTACAAAACACAATACAGCTGAAAAGCTGACGTTCGGAAAACACCGATTTCTAGCTTGTAGCTGTTATCTATTTCATGCATTTCAAAGTAGTGGTGCATTTCGGTAAGTTTAAGATGAATCCCAAGCAAATCAACACGCAGCATCAAGTTCTTCTTCCCACGCGTTTTATTATATCAAGGGTACCAACCCTCCCAATTTCATTTCAGGGAGATTTCGACGCGGTACTGTAGCTTTTCGTTTACATTCCAGGTGCAAGTAGCACTGAACTATAAGTCAAGAAAGTGCATAATCATGGCCAGCCTACTGTTCAACTATTCATTTAACCTGTTCTCGAGTTAGTTCAGGCAACCAGGAGTTCCTCTTAGCAGATAACCCATCAAGAGACTTTGACTACTGTCAAGCCCATCAAGATTTGACCGTTGGCTGATATTGTCTTGGAATCCCCATGGACCTACCAGCGTGGATTAGGATATGGCAGTAAATATCCCCAAAAATCAGTAGTCTACGTCTCGACGATTTTGAACGTTGGTTCCAAACCTTATATCCCCAGGGGACTTGTTAACCCGACGGCACAGATCCGAGATCACACAATCTGACATGCTGCTGTGTTGCGCTGCGTTGCTTGTACACTACACCTGAACCTGCATATCCCAAAATATCAGCACACTGGCACTGTCAATCGGATAAATCCTACGCGGTAATATCATATCGGTCTTTCTTTTCCTCTCACTCGTGGATTTTCAGCAGGTAAGAAACGGAGTTGTTTGGTTTATGCATCTACCAAAACTACATGAATAGAATTCTTAAACAAGTTACCTCATTCCTTTTCGTACTTACGAACGTTTTCATAGTTAACGCCCGTATTTACTCGTGCTGCAAAGTTTCCATATGCGTATGCGACCAGAATCCCATAACTTATCCGCATGAAACTCAAAAGGCATCAGACTCAGCTCATTCCGTTTTGGCCAGGCTACAAAGAAGCATGATTCCCGAACCCTAAAGGCCAACTTCCAAGGACGCCATATCACAAATTTCAGTCCTCGTATTCTCGCCCTCACGTGGTCACCACCGCAGGAGTTGAACAGGCACATAGAGATTCATATTCCTAACCATGAAACTGGGCATCGAGGTACACTGCACAAAAATCTGCCTGGAAAAAACGACGGCAAAGATAGCCAACGCTGAGATGAACTGCTCGTCACGTTGGTTCGGGAGACAACTCAGCTGCTCCCACCTATCTTTGACGCGGGTATTAAGAGGGGGTTGGTAAAACCTGACCCCCAAAATACCTAGAGTATAGTTTCGCCCCGGTTACTGGCCTCCTTTTTGCCGGTAGTAAATAATGCCGGGGCCAAGTGGTGTGAAAACGGCTAGAGGAAATCTGGTTCATCACCTGTGTCAAACCAATTATTACATTGAAGGATACCAGTACTTTTAAGACAGCCACATTCCAACTTTTCAGAGGACTCCAGACAAGGGCATCCTGACTGGTACACCTGACCCAGACCCTAGCCTGCTTGTGAAAGCCTTAGAGTGCAAGATGGAAACCCTGAGGAAATCCTTGTGCATGGTGCCGACTGTAGAACACATGACCATGGCGAAGTCAAAGCGGATACAGCCTCCAACATTAACCCAATCAAAGTGAGTGATTATACCCGCACTGCTTTTCGCTGCTGCCGTTTAACGATGTGGCTTTTACCCAGTATTTGTGGCCAGCAATATATAAATAACTGTGTACAACAGAAGACTGGGTGGCGCGATGATTTGTTTTTCTATTTTTCTGGCATCACTAGGGAAAACGACGTTCAGACAACCCCCGTAAAAATGACATGCGTTCCAGTAATTCAGTATTCGCAATATATGTCACTATCACTATCAACAAGTCGATGTGATGTCCAGGTCAATACTTAGTTTCGTTGATTAAGCACATGTGTGGCTACGGTACTTCTACCCACAATGCAGCGCGAGGTCACTTCTAGCAGCGGGATCCCTTGAGGAGGCTTTAAAAGCCTCTGTAGTGGTTACCCAAAAAGTATGCACCCAAACAAACCACCAACACAGAAGCAATCTTGCGGCCAAGACGGCCAGTGATACTCCATCGACAACCATACTAACAAGCAATCCAAAGGCAACCGAGTGAGTGGCAGTGCAAAAGGTAACTATTTCAAACTTAGGCTCCGAAGACAATCCAGCAACAACCGCTGGTGAACATCGTGAAATTGAGCAAGAGTGGAAAGAAGGCTCAACCTGTCCGTTTACCTCTAGGGAAGCCTTCGCCTACGACGGTGACCCCGAGCTCGGCGAAGGGAGCCAAAGGTTACTCTTGCTTTCACACAAGCTTGTGATCAACCAGTCATCCAAAATTAGGGCCAGGCCACATCTCTATGGTTGGTGAAAAGAACACCCCGAGATGCACTAAAACCAGCAG